GATATACATTATTTCATAATCTTATTCTAATCAATTATTATATGGTTTACTTCTGCTAGTCCCGCCCACAAAAAGTGACAATTAATCAATTCAATATTACTTTAATTGTAATCGTACATGCATAATTAGAAATGATTGACAATAATAATATAATACTACTACTACTAATAATAATACCCCAGTCCTTCATACTGGTGTGTTTTGAGTCAGTATAAGTAACTAACAGAATGAGACAGACCAGAATCATTGTGTAACGAGTTAGCCCCGCCCGCAGATGTATCCCTACTGATAGCAGAATATGGTCATTGTTTCCTCCAATACTTGATCCATAATCTGAAGAGAGATAGATCAGTCCTTGATGATCAGACTGTCTCACCAAATTAAACTAGAAATAATGAGAGAACAACTACTGAATAAAAGAGATTGTATACATAATAAGACTGGTGTCTACATACATTAATTAAATATAATCCTATATAAAGTATAGGAGGTCCCTCTAATAGAATACAAATTAAAGATGGGAAACAGAAGCATGGGGCTTAGATTTTATCCTAGTTCATTTTGGAAAAACTTGACCAAAGACCATTATCTAAGTACATATAGTCTCGGCCCAGGGCTGAGCTGAGATAGGGAGTTTAAGCAGATTTTTTAGCAACTTAAAAAATTTATTAAAAAATCCAAATCTGATTCAAATCGTGTTTAAATTTTCTACGCAACATAAGTATATGTATTGGGAAAAAGTGGAAAATTCTCTACCATTTATTTTTGGTGAAACATGGCTTATGACCCTGTACTATATTACATGAACTTTGACCCAATGTTTAAGCAACTTAAAAAATTTGTAACAAATCCAAATTTGATTGGAATCAGCTCAAACTTTCTACACAACATAAGTACACATGCATATGCACTAGAAAATGTAATAAAAATTTGAGGTAATTTTGAAGCCATTATTTGGAAAAGAACCCAAGGCTATGTAGCCTTGGGTACTATTCTAAAATTTGGAATTTTCTTAAAATGGCTGTAACTTTAAAATTTTGAAGTTGGAATCAGCTCAAACTTTCTACACAGCATAAGGACATCAATATGTATCAGAAAATGTAGTAAAGATTTGGGTTGATTTTGGAGCAATTTTTTGAAAAAAACAATGGGCTAGGAATGCATTAACAAAAGAGAAAGAACAACTGTAAAATTGACACATACACATATATGGCTGTGTCACAGTAGATATTGGAGTACTCTACTATCACTGTGTGAAACTAGTTCACACTATTGTTCACACTATTGTCCACACTATTGGGTGATTGTTCACACAACAATTGATCTACATACGGCAATGGAGTGCATCACAATATTTTTGTGATTGAGTAAAGTGTCTCCCTTACCAACTGAAACTACATTTGTACATCACAAAAAGTGAGTATAACATTATTACATGTACATGTACTATATGTAACTGTACAGCATGTACATGTACAGTTTTATGTATGTATCATAGTGATTGAGTGTATAATGTATTACAATACAATTATGAGTGTATGTGCTAGAGCAGTGTCATAAGAGGAATAATTGAATATCATTATTAATGATAGACACATGAAAGACACCATAACATAATACAATGTAGATACTACAGTATAGATGAAGCACTATCGTGCAATGGACTCACCTGTTGGAGTGATATGTGTTACTTGTACTGTGATATTTTAAGCAATTAAAAAAAAATTATTATTATTGACTGATGATAATTAAAATTAAGCTATGAGTGTGGTCAACAACTAGCTAGCTAGCTAGCTAAATCATAGCACATGGGTAGGAGAAAGAAGAAAAGCTGAAATTTATTTTAGCATCTGAAGCTCTATTCAAAGAAAAATTCGGCACAAAAATTTTTCCTAGATATTTAAAAGAGACTGAAAGAGTTTGGTTGCTCCTGCTTTCCCTAGTGATGCCTGAAAACTTTTCAAAGAGGCTAAATCACAAACTTTGAGCAACTGTAACTCACAAACAACAAGGTTAGGACAAAATCGTTCTTTTTGTTTTTTGTTAGATGGGATTTTCTACCTCTGAAGCAAATCTCGGCCCTGTAGAGTGAAACACGAGCTCTCATTTGGAGAGAGGTCCCCTGGTTTAGCAGTTCCTAGGCTTTGGCACCACGGGATGCTACAAGAGCATTACTAGATGAAAGAAAGCAACTTTATCTGTTGCTAGAAGAAGAAATACAGCTCTAGACTGCTCAGACAAAAAATAATTTTTTTACAAATCAATTAAACTGTGTGGACAGAATGACAGAATGACAACCCAACTGCTTAGTACCTGCCTACGCAAGCATGGCGAGTTCAATAATAATTATCATTGGCATAATTATACATACATATACATAGTGGTACACTTGTTTATCAGATCAATTATAATTACTTATAGTAAAGTGCGTGGGTGCATCAAAGGTACCACCCAAGCTGTATATCTCATACAGCACAGTTTGTGGTTTCCTGTTGTATAAACTGTGACTGCTCCTAACTGGGTAGAGCAGAAGACTTCACTAGCAGATAGTTACGATCTCTTTTGGTTCTCTTTAGCCTATTCCTCACTTGGCCTAGGGCTAGTGCCTTTAATGCACTATGACCATAAATTAGTTAAAACAATGCTGTGCTGGAAATACAGCACTCGAGGTGTGGTCTCGAAAGCCATACAGCACTCGGCTTCACCTCATGCTGATGGCTTTCTCGATCACACATCTCATGCTTTATATTTCCAGTTCAGCACAGGGAACCATGCTTTAAGTAATAAATGTATCATTACTGTACAGGTATGCTGGTCACATCGTATGGTTTTATAAAAGTGGACAATTAAATTAGCAAATAATGTAATATTTAGCAAATAAAGTTAAAATCCACATTCATTAAAAATTGGTTTAAGAAAACCACAAAAATAATAACAAAATATTAATTTCCATCAATATACATGTACATGTATCCCATTAATTAAATGAGACACTTTTAAAAGTGACAAGTTTACCATGTGACTGAAAACTTTAATTGATACACATAATATTAAACATTGTTATTATTATTATTATCATTCAAATGCTCATACAAATATCAATAATATTTATCAATAGAGAGGACACAGATTAATAATAATCAGAACATGTAGTTGACATGTAAACACATTATGACTAAGATAGCACATTTCCTAATAATTCTGAAAGCTACAATAGGGTCAACTAGAATATATGCCACCGGAAACCACACCCTCTCGTCGATCTTAGTTAGAGCGCCTGCCCATAGGATTAAGGGGTTTGGGTTTAGTGTTTATTTTTTACTTCCGGTGGCAGATATCCTAGTTGATCCCTACAATAAAACATCATGGAAATGCAAAGATACCAAAAATAACTGAATTACATTACATTACAATTTCAGCTTTGATGTACATGTACATGTATATGTACACTGGTTTCAATTTACTAGAAATTCTAAAAGATATTGCATGACATAAAGTTCCTTGCACACACAATTAAAAGTAAACAGCTTTTAAAAACCCTCAAAAATACTCATAATTATAAGTGGCCCCACCCATACCATGATTGACCACGCCCTTTAAATGGCCTACCTGTGTTGGGATGGCGTAGATCATAGAGAGTGAATTTGACTTTGACAGCCAATGGATCCCACAGAATAGGCTCTGGGGGCTTGAGAAACCTCACGGCCAGACTCCTCACATGACGCAAGCGACGCTATAAAGACAAATGAGAGTATTAAAAGAGGATAATTACACTGACAATGTTGTGTATAATTAAAAGTGAGAATTTGAGCCCACGGTTTTTTTTAGAGTGAATTAGTCTAAAGGGAGTAACCTGTTGTGTCCTGAGGTTGACCATAGATACGTAGTCTCTAATATCTATGGGTTGACGTGACGTGGAGGCCGGGCCGAGCAATGCTTCTCTCTCACAGACTCTCTGTAGCCATTGAGCGAATAAGACACTTCACACAATTTGACTCTTCATTTTTGCAGAAGCAGCAGAATCAGCCGGCACACTCAGGAAATGGCCGTAAAGGAAATGGGAGTAGCTGCATTCCTTGCTTCCGGCAACAAGCAAGCACAGCGGATCAATGGCAATGGCTAGTAGAAGAGTGTTTCGTTTAGGTAAGTCCTTCATAGAGAGAGGGGGACTGATATTATAAATGATTGCATGTTGTCTGGTACCAGCTAGTCAAAACTGAGTAGTGGGTCCCTACAGACTATACTTTGTATGGTCCGCTAGTAACTGTTGATATTACCAACTGTTTGTATGCATTGATAGATATCAGTCATATGAAGTTGGTAAGAGATGCTTTGAAGGAAGGTCACTTCATTGATGCTAACTGGTTTGATCTTGGAGAGGAGTTAAACCTACGTTATCCTCAATTGAAGAATATTGAAGATAGCTATGTGAATAATCCATCGCGTTGCTTGAGGGAATGTTTGAGCTTGTGGTTAACTTCAGCTAATAATCGTACTTGGGAATCATTAGCTAGTGCACTTGAGAGAATCAATCAAAACACAGCTGCTACACTCATCCGTAATGCATGTAAAGTTAAAATGCATCATAGTACGGTACATGAGTACAATTGTTATGTGCATGTATTTTCTATATATAGATGATGATCCTGCTAGTCAGATATTCCAGCATTACAGTGATAGAATATCACGAGTATTTGTCACTGATAGCTGTATCCAATTGTTACATACAGAAGGATTAATCACTGAGGATACACAAAGGAAGATTAAAAGATGTGGTGGCTCATTAAGTGATACATTAAGAGAATTAATGATTGCAGTATCTGATGATCACAGTAATCTGAGGTCAATAGGAAATATATTAATGGAATTAGAAGAAACTAAGCCTTTAGCTCAAGATATTATTAAAGATTGTGGTAAGAGTGATGGTATACTAGTATAAATTGTCTGTTATTATAATTTGCATAATATATAGATGAACTTATTAATAAACCAGTGACTACAGCTGTAGGTAGACCAGTTACCAATAGTACAATCAATCATTTACCTACTGCAAACACATCTTCAGGTATAGTTTAGTCTAAAATTTCTAAATTATTCTTTTAATATTAGCTGGTGAGTTCTTTTTCAATGCAGCATATCGGCCTATTTTTAGAGAGGTCAAAGGAAGCTTTGTTACTCTTTGTGATGAGTTACTTGAATTAATATCTCAATCAAAATCATCAGCTGCAGAAGTAAAGTCATTTCTACAAAGATCCTTCCCTGAATTGAGTGCTGAGTTGGCAAATGCTGATGGTATTGACCACATCATGAATGTTGTAGTGAAGAATTGCCGAGTCAATGACATCTCAATAATAAAAACAATTGTAAAACGTTTCAAAATCACTGAAGCAAAACCACTGATATCAGAATATGAAGAAGAAGTGAAGACAGTTTGTACATCATTGAAGGATTTCCTTAGTCAGAATCAACCCGAACATTTTGTCATTTGTGAAACAATTCAGTTTACTTTGGGATGGGAACCAGATGAACATTCACTTGATGACATACGTAGTCTCCTAGAGGAAGCATTTAAAGAATTAAACAAGAGGATTATTGTACGAAGCATTTGTCATGGGAACTCCATCATTATCATCTGTCATGCTCCACATCATTTACTAGCTGCTCTTCTCTTGGAAGCACAAGACAGCCTAACTGTCTTGATAAAGGAATTCAAATTAATCAGTCTGACAATTGGCCACTACACTGTTTGTGATATAAGGATCAGAATCAACAAAGTATAATTGCACTGTAACTGTATGAGACCTTGTTTAATATTATGTACTGATTATAGGTAATGAATGAGTGTCTTGCAGAGGAGATTAAACTAGCTGATGGAGAGGAACAAGAACTGAGGACTTTACTTGATTACAAAGAAGGTGTGTGAGTTGATCATACTCAATTACTGATGTTACTTATACTAATGGTATAGGATCAATACTTGAACAAGATAAACAACTGAATATCATTAAAGGTATACATCTAGTTAGTGAATGATGAAGAGAATGTATTGATACATTTTTACTTGTATAGAGTATAATGAAAGGACACTACAGACACCAGGTATAGTACTAACTTAAAGCATGTACTAAAGTAATGTGCAGTGCCAGTTGAAAAACAATGAGAACAATTAACTTATAAATTAAAATTCTTATTGTGCCATTGTAGAGTCTAAACTGAAAGTAAAGGTACTGACTAAAGGGAAGTTGATAAATAAAATATTCAAAACAAAGAAATTAGAGACTGAATATTTCCGAACAAAAGCAGGTACTGCATGACTCTATAATGGTATCTGTCTATACTACCTCATCATAGGAAGAGAGGAGGCATTAGTGGAGTATAAGAAAGAGATTGAGTTACTACAAGAAAATATTACAAAAACTAGTTTACAACTGCTGATGAGTCAAAAGACAAATAATCCACACAGTATGTGATATGTTAGTAATTAAATCATTAACTGATTTGATATAATTGTATAGAAAAGGATCAGTGTACACAATCACTGGATGCACCAATAGCAGAATCTATTTACACATCACATCTTAACTATCATGCATTATATAGTAGTGATCTTTCATTTAGTGAGGGACAGCAGCTGAAGATATTTAAAAGCTGAGCAGTTTTTGGTGGAAGGGAAGATCTTTGGTGTCTGGTAATAAGGGACGTATTCCTAGTAGTTATGTTTACTCAATGTTGGAGTCACTTCAATTGTTAGAGTTTATTGTGTCAGTGGAAGAAGTGTCCCTTCCTATTCTACAGAAGATAAGGAATGATTCATGTAGTAATGATGAGAAAGCTTCTCTTTTCTTGGAGACTATTAATGATGATCCTATTATGATATCTGCACTGAGACAAGACAAGGAACAACATGATAAAGGTAATATTTGCATGTAATTATTGTAACAGTCAGTAGTTATGTTGATAAGTAGTTACTTTGTATTTCATAATGAAATATCATAATTAATCATTGTGTTTATGTTCACGTGTTTGTGTCATTGTGTATATGTATATAGCAATAATTTGCCAAAGTCCTAGCTTACATTCTTACATTTACATTTGTGACCATAATTGACAAAAGGTACCTTATGGCGGGTAGTGAAATTTGATTTTATAGCCAAAAAAATCCAACTTCCTGAGCTTCATTTATTATAAAATTACTCCAGAGGATGCAACAAGTTCCTATGTAACTTTTAGAAACAATTCTTGTCCAACAGAGGACTCACATGATGATATTTTTCATTTTAATGATGAATTTTAAAATCTGCCATAAGGTACCTTTTGTCAATTATGGTCACATTTTACTTACATTTTACATTCTTATAGCATGATTAATTTATTATTTATCGGGCAAAACCCTTAGTGATGAAGTGTGTCTGTGTGGATGACTGTAGGGTCATCGTCATCTAACTAAGTAACCTAATCATTATGATGCTGGATCGTGTGGCAAGGGGGATTGAGCCTCTTAATGTTTTAGTCTTCTGGTACATACCGTATGGGTGCTTTATTTCGTTGGTATAAAATTTTGCAATTTTGTCCAGATTTTTTATTTGTTGGTATAAATTTTCCTTCTGCAGCCAATTTTCCTAGTGTGCCACACCTCTTTTGTGGAATTTAATTTTGCCAGAGAAAGTGGCGTCCCAATCAGATTGCTTGAACCACGTGTAGGACAAACAGTCATTATGACGGAAGAGCTCTGTTTAAGACAAAAGGAAGAGTGAGGACAAAATGAAGGTAGGAGCCTGTAATGCCTCCTGGACTTCTTTCTCAAGGTTTAAGAGCAGCATTACTGTTCTGCTTACTACAGCGATGCCTTCGCACTTATGACGTAATAATTCTGTCACGTGTTTATAATAAAACGTCATTAATAATAAGTGAAATACTAGTGCGCTCTGTGAAGAGTTGCTGCTCTCAAATTTGCAAGAAATGTCCAAGAGACTCTATCCTTGTCTTATCTTAGCTGCAAAGCATCTGTTTCAGCTATCTTGACTGATCTGGTCTCCTCTGTCACATGATGTAGAGCCTAACCACGTGTTCTTCTTTGCACAAATTTTAGATACAGTGCTTTGCAGGTTGCTTGACCCAGTTTCTGCTCACGTGACATGTATTACTAGTATGGTGAGAGTCACGTGATTAACGAGTTTGCAGGGTCAAGCAACCTGCAAAGCACTGTAGCACTGTCACCAGACCCTTCCTCCGCAGGTAGCGAAGGGGCGGGGCGAGACTATGAAAATGTAAACTTAGCGAAATTTCTTTCCATTGAAATATAACCCCTATATATGGTAATATTCTTTTCTCTACATGTGTGTACTTGTGCATTTGTTTATTGGTTGCAGTGACAATTAGCCTAAGCGCCAAGTTGTGTGTGTTTGTATGTACATGATGTGAATATGTGTATTATTATGTACATACATGTATATAAGTATAATCCTTTGGTTTATATTAGGAGCCACTGGGAGAGTGAACTGGGACAGTGACAGGGTATCCCTTACCTCTCCATCTCCAGTTCAGTGTAATAAAGTGATTAGTATTATTAATAAAAATTATGAGGTAATTGAACTTAACTACTCATCTACTAATAGTACAGTATCTCTACTATCATCAACTAAATTGCATACACTAAACCTAAAGAGAGTCAGGAGATTTGAGATATGGTGGACTCCATTATCTAATGATTGTATCCAGTACTTGTGTATACTACTAACTAATAATAAAACAATACAACAACTAGTCATCAGTGACCACTCCATTAGTGATAGAGGAGTTACTAATATCTGTCAAGCACTTGAACACAACTCTACACTTACCTCATTAGATCTTTCTGATAATCCACTCATCACTTCTACTAGTGGACAGGCTCTTTTTTACCTCCTCCTCAATAACTCGTCACTAGATGCACTGGAACTAAGGAATACTGCATTGTCTACTGAGTCAGTACTACTCATTCTCCAGTCTTTATCCTACAATAATAATATAAGGATGCTCAGGCTAGACAAGCGACACAAAGAGATATGTATTAATGCTTGTCATAACTATCACCTCATACAAGGCAGAGTAGACTGGGACTAATCACTCTTCATGTGAACTTATGAATCTTTACCAAAAATAAGCAACCAATCAGAATACACTATACATAAAAGGTGGATCTCTTTTTTCCAATTTTTAATTGCATTATTTTGATACTGTATAGCGCAAAATTTGTGAGGGCTGTAAATTTTGCAGATTTTGCAAATTTTTTAATATTCGTGAAAATTACTTCTCCAAAAATCAAAATTATTACAGTAAAAGATGGCAATGGCATAAATTCACAATAAATTAAATTTGCAAAATAGATTTTTAGGCAAAATTGTGAAATTTACAACCCTCACAAATTTTGCACTATACGGTATCATGATTTCATAATCTCATCCTAATCAATTCAGCATGTGGTTCACTCCTGCTAGTCCCTCAAACAAAAATTGCAGCCAATCGTTATTTTAATATTTCTTTGATTGTATGTTCAGAAATGATGTACATGTACAAGTTCTAGTTTTGTTGTGTTCTCTTCATCATGATTATTAATGATTTACTGGGTAACAATGAGTTCACACACAGTCTGTAATCTGATTGGTAGTATTGTTACTGTAGAGTACTGTTCATCAGTACTTACACTGCAGTGAGCACTTCTATACTAGGTTCATCTTTAAGGAGAAAGAGGTAGTGAATGGAAGACGTTAGATACATTTCAAATACATGCAATGAGTTGCACTTTTATATATATGTGTACTAATTTTGTTTGGATCTATTGAAATAATAACATAGTCTAAACATTGTAATTTTTAAAAAGTTAAGAATTTCTACAATTATTGTTCTCACAAATATTTCCAGTCATACAGTATTTATTGATTTATTACTCATACTTCAATGTTTAATAGACTTAAAATAGTTTTAGTAAAGTCTTCGAGACATTCTGATTCTAAAATAAGAGATTAATTAACTATTATTGACATTAACTACTATTGACTATCTACTAACTAACCTGATTCTTTGGTCTTAGTTCAAACAGCTTCAGGTTTAAAATGGCTCAAGAAAAATATCAAAAAGATAAATCCACTGAGGAACATATACATGTATCAGATCGACGACACCTTCTGCACCGAAAGAGGCTGGGGTCAATATAAAAAGGGCATGGTTAGTGGGTCAAGTTTTTACCTGATAATTGTTTGATTGATAGTGTATGTAATCATGCAATGAAATATTCTCTTCATAACTGATGGACATGAACAAGGTAGCCAAACTTGTTATACACTCATGAGCTTCTGAACAAAAAAAATTAATAAATTAAACGGAGAGAGAAATAAATATCCCAAATATAGTTAATAATGTAAAATAAAATGTAATAAAAGCATAAAACCAACCAAAAAATAACAAAAATACAATCTTGGTTAGAACCAGCTTATTCAGCTAAGACAACAATACATTGCAAGTACATGTATACGCATAAAAATCTAATAAAATGGAAAATTCTTCTCTAGTCATTTTTATAGAGCAATGCTGTATTATAGTACAGGAACTTTATATAATTTTTGAGCAACTTTTAAAATTGATAAAAATCTAATTTTGATCTGAACTAGCTCAAATTTTCTACACAGCATAAAAAAATCTATATGCATCAAAAATGTAACAAAAACTTGCGGTGATTTTAGTACCATTTTTTTCAAAAATTTGCTATTTAAAAATGGCCTTAACTCAAATTAATGAAAGAATCTGGAGCTATATACACCGTAGTATATGGCATGCATTTCCCAGTAGAGTAAGGTTGTTATAGTAACTCACACTGACTCCCATGAATCTGTATGTACTGAGATCAACAATCTTCTCAAAGCACATCATCTCCTCTTTAGACTCACCTGTGATAAGCCAAACCTTTATCTTAAACTCTGTTATTATTATTATTATTACTGTTAGAGAAATAATAGTGTCATACAGTATGTACTGTGAAGAAGAGAGAGAGGGGGAGGGAGGGAAGGAGAGAGATAAGGAAAAGATAAAGAAGAAGGAGGAGAGAGAGAAGAGAGAGCCATAGTGAAGAAGGAAGAGAAAGAGAGAGGGCCCTATGGAAGGAGAGGGGAAGAGAAAGAGGAAGGGAAAAGGGGGAGGGAGAGAAATGGAAGACAGATAAACATGCGTACAGTACATGTATAAAGTACAAAGAAAGAAAATGAAGAGAGAGGGGAAAGAGAAGACTACATGTACGTGTACATGCACATACATGTACATTAGAAAAAAGACAGAGGGTGTAAGTTGAGGATACTGTTAATCGTGACACTGTCTCCAAACTTCTCATATTGAAATGTGAGGGACCTCCATGTTGGATTNTATGACAACAACAACAAACAACAAACAATAATAACAATAATAATAATAATAACAATTAAGAACATGTACAATGTACATAAGAATCAACTCACATATGTTTCTTCAAGGACACTGCTTGTATACAATACTGCATTAACAAAAGAGAAAGAACAACTGTAAAACTGACATAACCCAATGTATGGTTGTGTCACAGGAGATATTAGAGTACTCTAGTGTCAATGGTAGAGTGAATGTGAAACTAGTCCACACTATTGTTCACACTATTGTTCACACTATTGGGTGATTGTTCACACAACAATTGATCTAGTATATGCATTATAGTGATCAAGAGTATAATGTATTACAAGGCCATGATGTCAAGAGTACATGTACTCTTGATTATGAGTGTATGTACTAGAGTAGTGTCATACAATAACACCATTGAGTACTGTAGTAAGAGGAATGACTGAATATCATTATTAATGATAGACACATGAAAGACAGCAAACATATACATTGTAGGTACATGTATACAATGTAGATGGTACAGTATAGATAATACTAATTATTAACATAATACATGTACATGTACATACTGGTACACTTGTTTATCAGATCAATTATAATTACAGGTATCATTACTGTACAGGTATGCTGGTCCCATTGTATGGTTTTATAAAAGTGGACAATTAAATTATTCAACCTCCCGGGAAACTTGTTGGTAAGTAAGTTATTTATGAACCTAAAATTGAGCAATCTGATTGGTCAATTACAACTAGGCATGGTAGAACATGTAAGTATGATCTAGCAATACACATGTACATGTACATATACATGTACATGTACATGTATCCCATTAATTAAATAAGATACACTTTTAAAAGTGACAGGTTTACCGTGTGAATAAAAACTTTAATTAGATACACATATAATATTAAACTTTGTTATTATTATTATTATCATTCAAATGCTCATACACTATCAATAATATTTATCAATAGAGAGGACACAGATTAATAACAATCAGTACATGTATTTGACAAGTAAACACATTATGACTAAGATAGCACATTTCCTAATAATTCCAAAGGCTACAATAAAACATCATGAAAATGCAAACATGCCAAAAATAACTGAATTACATTACATTACAATTTCAGCTTTGATGTACATGTAGTCATGTACATGTACACAGGTTTCAATTTACTAGAAATCTTAGAAGATACTGCATCACATAAAATCCCCTGAACACACAATTAAAGGTAAATGGCTTTTAAAACCCTCACAAAATACTTATAACTATAAGTGGCCCCGCCCATAACATGATTGACCACGCCCTTTAAATGGCCTACCTGTGTTGGGATGGCGTAGATCATAGAGAGTGAATTTGACTTTGACAGCCAATGGATCCCACAGAATAGGCTCTGGGGGCTTGAGAGACCTCACGGCCAGACTCTTCACGTGACGCAAGCGACGCTATAGAGACAAATGAGAATATTAAAAGAGGATATTACAATGTTGTATAATCGAATGAGAGTTTCAGGTTTTGTAAAGTGAATTAGTCTAAAGGGAGTAACCTGTTGTGTCCTGACGTTGACGTGACGTGGAGGCCGAGCAATCCTTCTCTCTGTAGCCATTGAGCGACTAACGCACTCTTCACACAATTTGACTCTTCAAAATTTCTGCAGAATCAGCCACACCCACCGATTACAAAACACTCACCACGCCTATCAACAAGCAGATCAATGGCAGTGGCTAGTAGAAGAGTATTTCATTTAAGTAAGTCCTTAATAAAGACAGGGGGACTGATAATGAATGATTGCATGTATTCTGGTACCAGCTAGTGAAGTGGTGGGTCCAGACTACTTTGTATAATCTAGTAGAAATTGTACTGAGGTGCCTGATATTATACATGCATGTATTATAGCCTATCAGTCATATGAAGTTGGTGTCTGATGTCTTAAAGGAAAGTCACTTCATTGATGCTGACTGGTTTGAGTTAGGAATGGGATTAAACCTACCTTATCCTGGCCTGGCAAATATTAGCGCAAAATTTACTGATCCTTCTCGTTGTTTACTGGAGTGTTTGAGCTTGTGGTTGACTTCAGCTAATAATCATACTTGGGAATCATTAGCTAGTGCACTTGAGAGAATGAATCAAAAACCAGCTGCTACACTCATCCGTAATACATGTAAAGTTAACATACATACAACTATACAATTTTAAAATTAAATTTATAATTTTTATAGATGATGATCCTGCTAGTCAGATATTCCAGCATTACAGTGATAGAATATCGCAAGTATCTCTCACTGATAGTTGTATTCAGTTGTTATATACAGAAGGATTAATCACTGAGGATACACAAAGGAAGATTGAGAGATGTGGTGGCTCATTAAGTAATACATTAAGAGAATTAATGATTGCAGTATCTGATGATCACAGTAAGCTGAGGTCACTGGGAAATATATTAATGGAATTAGAAGAAAGTAAACCTTTAGCTCAAAATATTATTAAAGATTGTGGTAAGAGCAACAGTAATAATTGTGTCATTATGTTTTCACAATTATAGATGAAATAATTGATAGATCAGTGACTACAGTTATAGTTACACCAGTTACCAGTAGACTAAATACAGTCAATCATTTACCTAGTCCAAATGCAGCAGTATCAACTTCAGGTTTATTATTTGTCTAAAATCATTATAAATTATTTGTTATTATAGCTTGTGAGTTCTTCTTCAATGCAGCATATCAGCCTATTTTTAGAGAGGTCAAAGGAAGCTTTGTTACTCTTTGTGATGAGTTACTTTGATTAATATCTCAATCAAAAGCATTAGCTACAGAAGTAAAATCATTTTTACAAAGATCCCGTCTTCCCTGAATTGATTGCTGAGCTGTCTAATACTGATAGTATTGAAGGCATTATGAATGTTGTTGTGAAGAATTGCCGAGTGAATGACATCTCAATAATAAAAACAATTGTAAAACGTTTAAAAATCACTGAAGCGAAACCACTTATATCAGAATATGAAGAAGAAGTGAAAACAGTTTGTGGATCATTGAAGAATTTCCTTAGTCAGAATCAACCTGAGCATTTTCTCATTTGTGAAACAATTCAGTTTACATTGGGATAGGAACCAGAGGAGCACTCACTTGATGACATACGTAATCTCTTAGAGGAAGCATTTAAAGAATTGAACAAAAGAATTATTGTACAAAGCATTCATCGTGGGAACTCCATCATTATCATCTGTTATGCTCCACATCATTTACTAGCTGCTCTTCTCTTGGAAGCACAGGACAACCTAACTGTCTTGATCAAGGAATTCAGTTTAATTAGACTAACCATTGGCCACTACACTGTCTATGATAAAAGGATCAGATACAAAGTATGAGATACTGTAACTGCAAGTGTGAGACCTTATTTAATATTATGCATTAATTATAGGTAATGAATAATGAGTGTCTTGCAGAGGAGATTAAACTAGCTGATGGAGAGAAACAAGAATGAAAACT